ATTTTAGAAGATTTCCGCATAAGGACTTGTTGAAGGACACATAGTTCCACAGATATTCCGGTATTATTTGGGTGCTAACATGTTAACGGTATCCCAACTACCGTAAGGTTGCCATCCACCGCTCACGTAGCCTTCCTTTACCTTCTTTTAGCATCCTTTCGACAAGCCATTGCGTCTTCCTAGGATCATGAGTGATGATCTTACGGTGATTCCAGTATATCTCTGGAACCATGTGTTGAGTCTGCTTGAATCTATACTAGAAGATATTTCTGGAACCATCTAAAAACTTCACCCCATTTCAAAAGATACATACGAAAAGGGCACACAAGTCTTCTGTGAACAAACCCTTGCAGTCCCATATCTCGTCACCCGACAACATCACTTATGATGGGACCGCGAGAGTCAAAGCATGCGAAACAGCGCACGGCGATGGCGCCTTGAGAGAGCGCATTGAGATGTTTCAATGAAACAGTCGCATGTGATTGAATACATGCGTCGCATTGAGAGAGCAATGCGATGAGACAAACAAAAATTGAAACGCTCGAATTTGTTGAGAGCGTGTACCTTGTCGCGCGCATCGTTCTGGTCTCTCTTTTGTACAATAATGTAGCACACCATGGATTTGAGAGTCATGCGACGCTCCGTCTCACAGCTCGCTGTCGCATTTGTGTACGCGTGAGATTTCCGGAAGCCTGGTGTCGAGTGAGTGTCATGATATTTTGCATCACTGTGTACTACCAATGAAAACAAATGGCCAATGTACCATCGATGAAAACTATCAAATATCCCCCTACTCCAGATCAGTCATACTTTGGAAATGGTTTGCGATTCAGGTAAGCTTCGCATGTCCAGTTCTACTGTTGTGGTTGTTGTTTTTGTTTATCTGCACGCCCATAGGCTCTTGTCCAACAGCAAGTTGTTTAATGTCGTCATGCGAGAACCGCTTGGTTGACCCCACCGATACCTCCTCAACGGCGAATTAAATTTTAGAGATTGAGCAAGGCCTTACTGGCCTTACAAGAACTGATCGGTAGGCCACCCATCGCATCGGGGCCTCTTGTGACAACCTAGTTCAAAAGAAAGACGATGACAGAGATTCATCTGCAAAATGACCGGATCATTGATGATGGGTATATGCATGATGTTGGACTCACGGAATGTAATTGCATTGGTCTGTTTCAATTAATCCTATACTATTGCGCCAAGGCAACCGTACATAGGTCCAGATCTGATGGAATATTTGAGGTTAATACGTATCGACTTCTCCCAAAAGTACAGGGACTTCTATGAACATATCTATGTCCTGTGGATTTCCCATCAAGCCTATCCCTAATAAAAATTGTATGGTTAATTTTCTTAACGACGTGTTCTGGGTATCATCCAAACCATTTGTAGAATAGTTCAATGATTTGGGTTATCGTTCGTTTATGGTTATTTTTTATTAGGGATACCCAATTGAAACTAATGACTGGCAAGGAATATCGAGAAAAAATACAGGTGAACCGGAACATTTTAAGAGATTCATGGTGCAGAAAATACTTACAGGTTTTTCCTTGAAATTTATCAAACCCATTGGTTAATGGAGTAAACAAAGTAGTTAACCTTAACAACGATTGGCAAAACGTCAACACTCGACAGTGATGCCGTATTGTTTGTGTCCTACTTGTCAACGTGTGCCCTAGCGTGCGAACAGTGTGCCATGCTGTGTTTCGCCACAGTGTGCAGTGTTAATTACCCCGTGATATTGCCCATAAAAGTATATTAGTCCCATCTGGAAAAACAGTAAGCTGAGAAAAGCACTGTCTAACATTTATTTCTACATAGGCACTTATGGATGGGTCAACCTAGTTTTGTTATTTTTCACGATATTTTCTGTAGCTTTTAGCGCACAGTGTAGTTTACAATCGATTTCAATGGATAACTCATTTCTGACAAAAATACATATGGGACTGTTATGCTTTTATGGGCAGTATATTTAACTGTTTATATGGAACCGGGAAAAATATTTTGAATACCCGGGAAAAAACAGGATTTTTTTTTTTAATTCAGTGGCCAGAGTCACTTCAGAGCCACCGAGTTGACGCCATTGGCGAATCATGCCGAGATGTTGATGGCTAGACGTTGAAACTTGAAGATATTGTTCGAAGTGTTCAATCCAGCGTATCCGTTCGTCAAAAGGAACGGTAAACAGCCTTCCACTCGTTTTTCTTTCCATCTAAAGATTTGGCTTGGAATCGCAGTAGGCCGCGCTTGAAAGCTGACATGTTTTTCTTTTGCTGCGTATTTTTCGTCAGCGAATTAAATATTTATTGCTTTAAATTTGTTAATTTGTGTGCTAAAATTTAGTTTCAAGTGTTCATAAAGTTATGATTTAGTGATATATCGTGTTTTGACTGTGTTTGCCTTGAGTGACTTGGTTGACCTTAAATCTAACCTCCAAAATCTACGACGCAGCTTCAGTTTCATTGTTCGGTGTCGAAAATTGCCTCCCGGGAGCCCGGTTCTGCGAGTTCGGATGTCACATTTTCGACGTGTAGTTCTGTTCTATTGAGAGATTCATCACCATCGGCGAGTTTGAACCCGGTCCGGTTGGTGAATTAGCCCGGGAACGTGCTGATAATGTGTCCGTCGCGAGTGTTGGTGATGATTCGGTGGCCGATGTTGCCGTGAATCAGCAAGTTTTCCGCTATCGGTGTCGGAGATTGTGAGCAATATGAAAAATGCCTCGCTGATTACGCCCAAGACTGGACGGGTGGTAGCTGGTGGCCGCGAAAGGTTCCTGGGGAAAGCACTAGACGTGAACCTCCTCCCAGATGACCATGGCAATACAAGACAATTTGCGTTCGTCGAAAGAAGTATTACGACAATGGTGAATCACGAAATGAGATGCAAAGCGTAGAGAAAAACAAAACTACGGAACCCATGGATTGGAGGATCAAATTAACATGGTGAGACCAGTCCAAATACTTTTTATAATTTAAAAACATAAACTAAATACGTGCCAGGATTCAAAAGAACATGTTGAAACTGTAAGTGTGTGTATAATACTAATATCCAATTGATAGAGGTAATACATACATGCGGGGCTTATTGTAAGTGAAAGTAACCTCGGAATGGGCGTGACTCTCCAGACATTCTGAAATGGGTTACTGGATCTGCAATAGAGCTATCACTTTCTAACTTCCGGGCTAAAGCTGTCTACAATGACTATATATGCGACATTGTAGAGAGAGTTCTTCCATTAACACTGTCGGTCAGTGGGGGTTAGAGGGAATACACACACATCTTTAGACTTTGGCTTGCTCAGGCCTCGCAAGATACGGATATCCCTGGTTGTTGCAGCTTTCTCGACCAGAGTTCACCACCGCTCGCTTGTTTTATTTGTTAGACTTCCTCCTTAGAGTCGAATACCGTTAAGGGGACTTTTGTTTCAATACCGCTTTATCGAAGATATACCAAGAAATCTATTGATGGGGTACCTTCATTGATCTAGATCTTGTTTGATTTTGTTGTTCGAATCACTTGGAGTTCTCCTTGAGTTTCTCTGGATTCTGAAGGTTTTGTTTGATTATGTCCTATACCTTCTGCTGCTTCCTGTTCAACATTGCGCTAGAAGGTGTTATGAAACGAGCGGACTTTAACATGCGGAACACGATCTTCAATGAATCCAGCTAATGCATCTGCTTCGCTGACGTTGTGGACATTGTCGGAAAAACATCCAAGGCGGTGCCAGAGCAGTATACCAGGCTGAAACGAGAAGCAGAAAAAGTTGGATCAATGGTATCTGTTGGCTAGAGGAACCGAGCGCGATATACCAGAAGTGCAATAATCGACGAAGATGATGATTTTGAGGATTTTTTTTTTTTAATTCTTTATTTAAGAGATTTTTAGCCTTAGGCTAGTTCATCTCTAGATTTTGAGGAGGTGGATGAATGTGTGTACCTCGGATCGGTGACGTCGGATAACATCTGCAGCAGAGAAATTCGGAGATGCATTATTACCGGAATTCGTGTGATAGTTCTCTATGAGACAATCTGCAAGCACTGGAAGTTTTTGAACGACGCGTGCTTAGGACCATCTTTGGCGGGTTATATGAAATCGATGTATGGAGGAGAAGAATAAACCACGAGCTTGCGCAACCAAATGTGAGCCCTGCATCCAGAAAATTGCTAAAGCTGGAAGGGTACAATGGGAGGGACACATTGGAAGAATGCCGGACAACAATTTTGTTAATAGGGAGGTTACGGCTTAGGGGCCTCCCTTAGCTCAGTCAGTAAAGGCACAGCTATAATGCAATATCATGCTAGAGGCGGATGAGTTCGATTCCCGGTCCGTTCTCGGAATGTTTTGGGTTGATAAATTTCTCGACTACCCTAGGCGTAGAGTATGATTGTACTTGCCACACATTAATACAAATACAAAAATGGTGCAGGCTTAGAAAGCTCTCAATTAACAACTGTCGAAGTGCTCAATGAACACTAAGTTGAGAGCCGGTGTAATAAAGTCAAAGAAGAAGCCATAGGATACTTTTGGTAAACGTTATTGGTAAATTATCAAAGTGACAAATTGTTCAAGTGAATGGACCTCTTCGTTCGACTTGCACTGATTTAAACTCATCACAACATTCTAACCTCTACCTAAAAATTTAAACGAGTATGATTCCTGCGTATTTATGCGCATTTCTTCATCCGTTAAATGAGCAATGGCAGGATTGGAAGTCTTGGGACAATTAACCGTATTCCGTTTACGTCTCTATTAGCACTCGACAGGTTGCAATATTTCTCATCCTTCCATTTACTAGACAATAACTACTGCATTATGCAAGAATTCGCAGCCCCATCATAACGTTGCGTGAATGTTTCGTGAATGTGTGGTGTTTTCGCACGTGGTGACAGTTCCCCTAGTAGATCCTAGAATGACACACCATTCCCAAAGTGGTACCTATCATTTGCGGCATCAATTATTAATTCGCTTTTCGTTTTGTTCTCTTCTATCAACAGTGTCCCACAACCCCTATAATACATCGGATATGCCGATGCCCTCGGCGAAGGAGCAAACGCTGATGTGGCAACAAAATTCGTACATGGGTGATTCCGGCATCCACTCGGGTGCGGTTACACAGGTGCCATCACTCAGTGGCAAAGATGACGACATGGAGGAGGATCCACTGATGTTCGACATGGATCAAGGTTTCTCGCAGAACTTCACCCAGGATCAGGTGGACGATATGAACCAGCAGCTCAGCCAGACACGCTCGCAACGTGTACGAGCCGCAATGTTCCCCGAAACTCTGGAGGAAGGCATCGAAATTCCATCGACACAGTTCGATCCACAGCAGCCCACAGCGGTTCAGCGATTGTCTGAGCCATCGCAAATGCTCAAGCATGCTGTTGTCAACTTGATAAACTATCAAGACGATGCAGACCTGGCCACTCGAGCTATTCCAGAGTTGATCAAGTTGTTGAACGATGAAGATCAGGTTGTGGTTTCCCAGGCTGCCATGATGGTGCATCAGTTGTCCAAGAAGGAAGCTTCACGACACGCTATCATGAACAGCCCACAGATGGTCGCTGCTTTGGTGCGTGCCCTGTCGCAGAGTAACGATCTCGAAACGACTAAAGGAGCTGTTGGAACGCTGCACAATTTGTCACACCATCGCCAAGGTTTGCTGGCAATTTTCAAATCCGGTGGAATACCAGCTCTTGTTAAACTGCTCTCATCACCGGTTGAATCCGTGCTGTTTTACGCAATCACAACCCTTCACAATCTGCTACTCCATCAGGATGGTAGTAAAATGGCAGTCCGTTTGGCTGGTGGCCTACAAAAGATGGTAGCTTTGTTGCAGCGCAACAACGTCAAATTTTTGGCCATTGTGACCGATTGCCTACAGATTCTTGCCTACGGAAATCAAGAAAGTAAACTTATTATCCTTGCTTCCACCGGACCGAGCGAATTGGTCCGCATAATGCGCTCCTATGACTATGAGAAGTTACTTTGGACAACCTCGCGCGTGTTGAAGGTTTTGTCTGTTTGTTCAAGCAACAAGCCAGCCATCGTTGAAGCTGGTGGCATGCAAGCGTTGGCCATGCATTTGGGAAATCCATCACAACGTCTCGTTCAGAACTGCCTTTGGACGTTGCGCAACCTCTCAGATGCCGCTACAAAGGTTGACGGTTTGGAAACGCTCCTCTCTGGTTTGGTCACTGTTCTGGGCTCATCCGATGTCAACGTTGTCACCTGTGCTGCCGGCATTCTTTCCAACCTGACATGCAACAACCAACGGAACAAGGTCACCGTATGCCAGGTTGGTGGTGTCGAGGCTCTCGTTGGTACCATCATCAACGCTGGGGATCGTGAGGAAATCACAGAGCCAGCTGTATGCGCACTGCGGCACCTCACATCGCGTCACCCAGAGTCTGAATCCGCACAGAACATCGTTCGCAACGGCTACGGACTGCCGGTGATTGTGAAGCTACTTAATCCGCCATCTCGTTGGCCCCTGATCAAGGCCGTCATAGGGCTGATTCGTAATCTGGCACTCTGTCCAGCTAATGCAGCTCCATTGCGAGAGCACGGGGCAATCCATCTACTGGTTCGACTGTTGTTCAAGGCTTTCCAGGACACACAAAGGGTAGGTTTTACCTTGGAAATTGTATGCATAAATTTAATAAAGATCCATCCTTTACAGCAACGCTCATCGGTGGCCACCAACGGTTCGCAGCCTCCGGGAGCCTACGCCGACGGTGTACGCATGGAGGAGATTGTCGAGGGCACGGTTGGGGCGTTGCACATCCTCTCGAAAGAGGAACTCAACCGGCAGCTAATCCGCCAGCAGAACGTTATTCCGATCTTCGTGCAGTTGCTCTTCTACAACGACATCGAAAATATTCAGGTGCGTGGAGCCATTTTGGACGGAACATTTTTGTTTCTTCATCATTCCACAGGTTTCTCGCTTTCCCCACCGTTGACATTCCCAGGTCATGCGCACGCGCATTGATTCGTTCCCCTTTAATGCATACCTACATACACCATTTTCCCAGAATGGGCGTGCATGGCGCCAATGTGTTATATACATATGGTGGTACCTATGTAAAGTTTTCCCCTTAAAATGTCCTTGCAGCGCGTTGCTGCCGGCGTTCTGTGTGAACTGGCCGTCGACAAGGAAGTGGCTGAGATGATCGAAGCCGAGGGTGCCACCGCACCGCTGACTGAACTGCTCAATTCCGCTAACGAGGGTGTTGCCACCTACGCGGCCGCCGTCCTGTTCAAGATGAGCGAGGACAAATCCATGGACTATAAGAAGCGTTTCTCCAGCGAACTGACCACCCTGCCGGTGTTCCGCGACGATACGATGTGGAACAACGGTGAACTCGGGATAGGGCCGGACTTGCAGGTAAGAGCAATCGTAAAAGCTGTTATGTTGTGTATGTAACCTATAGTGTTGGCGTTCGTTCGAAGGCGGGGGACCGGGTGTAAATAAAGAGGTCCCAATGATTTCCAATCGCTTCATGATTATGGGTAGTATGATTGTTTTTCGTAGTATGTTATTGTTATCGTTCGTATTCAGTTGCTGGGATATTGTGACGATAGGCTGAACCCTGTCGTTGGTAGGTTAGTAGCAGAACTATAATCGAATTGCATTATTTTATTATAGTTTTAAACTGTTACGCATTTATTCCTTTTGTTTCCTGAATAATTTATCATAACTTTCGCTTACCTTGAGCATCATTTTAATTTTTGACAATGAAGAAGTTGTCCTGTTGTACTTCTCTGCACCACTGATGCCGACGATTTCATCCGAGTTCTCTGCTAAATATTATCATCACTTGTCACTCAATTCGCTTGTCGGCATGTAGTCCGCCTTAAGCCCGGTTTAGACGATTCAAGTCGGCATTCAACTCAATTGACATGCGGAATTAATGTCCAGAAAGTTGGTCGATGATCATTTTTAGTAGCTCCAGCTACTACAGTCACTTACCAGCCTTAATTGTTATGATATATATCTAAATGTGTTTGCATTGTTCCTGCCTTGGCAATTCAGTGTTTTAAACAGGTTTGTCAGTATAGCAATTGACATCTTAAAAATAAAACTTAATCTTTCTAAGTATAAAGGGAATTGATCGTTGCAAATGAGGATTTCAATGATTTTTGCCTGAAATTATTAATTATTTTGTTGGACATTTGTTCTAATGTCTCAACATTCGAAATTCTATGTTCTTCGGTAGTACTGTACCAGGGAGGCCACTTCAAAATCACCTTCAGAACTTTGTTCTGAATCCTGGTAGTGTAACAACTAGACCATATTGGCACAGCGTAAAGCATGGCCGGTCTAAAAACTTGTTTAAATATTAGAAGTTTATTCGTCAGGCAAAGTTTGGATTTCGCGTTTATAAGAGGATACAAACATTTTATATATTTGTTACATTTGGCTTTAATGCCCTCACTGTGATCTTTAAAAGTTATTTTTTGGTTAAGACCAGGAAATTGGAACTCCGTTCATAGTGACTATTTGACTACTACTAGGTTTCAAAAAGGAAGCTCTAGGCTTATGTGGAAATATTATAAGTTGAGTTTTGGAAGCGTTGGGAGAAAATTTCCATTTTTGTAAATAAGAAGAGAAAATATCTGAACTTTTCTGCAGTCTGCTGCAAATAACACGACGACTTCTTCCTATAGCGGAAATGCCTGTGTAATCAGTGAACAAAGATTTGTGGCAACCCTGAGGCAAACCAGGGAGGTCCGAAGTGAAAATGTTATACAATATAGGCCCAAGAATACTACCCTGAGGAACTCCTGCCCTAACAGGTAGTCGATTAGATTTGGAATTTTGATAATTTACTTGAAGAGTTCTGTCAGTTAAATAATTCTGAACTAATTTCATAATATAAAGTGGAAAATTAAACTTTTTCAATTTAGCAATCAAACCTTCATGCCAAACACTGTCGAATGCTTTTTCTATGTCTAGAAGAGCAACTTCAGTTGAGCAACCTTCAGATTTGTTTGGCGAAATCCAAACTGCTCATCTGCAAAAATTGAGTTCGTATTGATGTGAAGCATCATTTTATTTAAAATTATCTTTTCAAAAAGTTTACTTATTGAAGAAAGAAAACCTATTGGACGGTAGCTAGAAACTTCAGCTGGATTTTTATCCGGCTTCAAAATTGGAACAACTTTTGCATTTTCCATTTATCAGGAAAGTATGCCAAATGAAAACATCTGTTAAATAATTTTACCAAGAAAGACAAGGTACTCTCTGGGAGTTTTTCGATGAGGATTTAAAAAATTCCATCAATTCCACCTGGAGCTTTCATATTATGCTTTTTCCGAATTTGTGATCAAAATGTTACCACATTCTTTAAGCGCTGGAATAGGCTTTTGAGGTTTTAAACAAATAATGTGAGTTTCCAAAAGGGTTTGGGGTTCGGGTTTAATTTCGTAACATCATTTTCAAAAGTTTTGTTCCTCAGGGCAGATAATCGCTTTTTAATTTGTTTTGGCAATTCTCGTCAGATAACTTTCATGACAGGATCGCGTGTTCTATGATATTGCCTCCTTCGGACATTTTTCAGGCGGATCAAGAGATGAAGATCATCGTCTATTATAATTGAATCGAATTTATCCTCGCATTTTTGATACTGAGGTAGCTCAGGCTTCAACTATAGAAGTAGTCAGAGATTCAAGAGCATAATTAATTTCATCTTTCAAAACTATATTCCATAAATGTTCGATATTGCTTCCAATAAGGTAATTAAAAGTAGATCGGTTGGGATTAGAAATTATTTCTTGGGATATTTCAAAAGTTACTGGAAGGTGATCAGAACCGAAGTAAGCATGGGTAACCAATTGGCTAAAAAGTAGACATGAACCAGTTAAGACCAAATCAACAGTTGAGGGATTTCTTGCTGAAGAAAAGCATGTTGAACTGTTTGGATATTGAATAGTGTTGAATAACCTGCAGAACAATCATCAAACCATTGGAATTACTTTGAGCATTTTTCTATGAGCGGTGTTTTGCATTAAAATCACCAATAATGAAGAATTTAGACCTATGACGGGTAAGTTTCTGAAGATCACCCTTGAGAAAATTCTTTTGCTGGCCTATGCATTGGAATGGCAAATAGGCAACTATAAACGTAAGTTATCCAAATTTTGTTTCAACAGAAACTCCCAAAGTTTCAAAAAATTTAATTTGATGTTTGATTCGTCTATGAACAACGCCACCACAGGCTCCATCAAGACGATCATTTTGATAAATGAAATAATTTGCGTCCCTTTTAACCTCATGGTCAGGTTTAAGGAACGTTTCAGTTATAACGGCAATATGGGACACGGGTTCTAAACGTTAGGTGACCGATAAGGAATACCGTGATACAATAAAATAAAACGCACGTCTGTCCGGTAGTTCATTCAGTATATAAACTGAATGTTTATTATTCTCTCTGCACAGTTGTTCCAGACAGCCAGTGGTGTAGCAAGGGGCGGATACAATCAAAAAGTTAAATAGCTCGTCCTCATTATTTTTAAGGGATCGAGCATTCCAATTCAACATATTTAATGATTTAAAATCGTTTACTAAATTTTAAAGTCATGACAATATTGTTCGTAAATTTAACTCCAGTATGAAAAGCATAAAACATGGAGTTAGTTTTCAGCATATCAGTAATCTTGTCAATTAATGATTTCTGTAAAAATTCCATTTGTGGAACAGTAATGCTTCTTAAGCCAAAATTATCAAAATTTCCGTTAGAGTGGTGATGTTGGCTAGAATTTTGAAATCTATTGCAGTGCTGTAAATTCTCAAAATCAATTGAACATTTTTGATGAAAAAGAGAAAAGCAGCTATCCGCTATCAAAGGGGACCTCCTTCGAATGGGTGATATCAGTTGCTTAGTCATTGGACGAAGGCATGGAGCATTCTTATTTGAGAAACACTTGATATCATTCAATTGAAAATAACCTACACATAAACGGAGCTCTGGTCCACATTCCGGTGAAAAAGCTAAGCCAACCCGACACCAAACTGACTTCTACCAAACCCCAACCCGATGTTGACTCGACATAAACCCAACAGAGTGTCTACTCATTTGGCTAAATAGAATTCCCTGATATTTATAAAACTTTAACTGGTAATTTCCAGATTTATAATAAGAAAGCTATGTTTGAGATGCGTAAAAAAATTCTTTTTTTCTTTTGTACAACAACATGATAATCAGTTTTAAAGAATCAGCTGTACAATTGAATCCATTAAATGTTGAAGTTTAACATTTATTTAATTTGAGTAGTTCCAAGACCTCAAAATATTCTCTTCTGAAGATTCGTTTTCCATGCACTAGTTTAAGATATTAAAAAATTTCAAAGTGCCAGAATTAAGGGAAAACAAAATAGGGGAATTTACGTATTCTCGACAACCTAAGCAGAAACCTTCTTTCTATAGCCCTTTTCTCTAAGGAACACACACATATGCAGTATTGGTTTGTTTACAATCTTTTGCTGCCAGCTGCTCTAACAATTTCAGTCGAAAGAATTGTCAAAAACTGTTTTGAAACGCTTTTACAAAGCTCCAATCTTCTCTAGTGAGAGCGAGTATTGTCGGCAATCAGTTTTTCTTCGGCAACCGTTCCATTTGAACTGCATGTAAATCTGCTGTTCTATTATCGGCAACTCGGAATCAGCTACAATTTGTAGTGCGTGTGTTTCATTTCAAGAAAACCTTGCTAGATTGCTTTTTCTCAGTGATAAAAATATAGTCAAATTGAAGCTGAAAGCATAAAGAATCGTTTGCATGCATTCAGCGAAGTGTTTTCGTAAGAAAATCCAGTGAAAATAGTGTTTCAATTTGGGTTGCCGAAAATAGTCTGGCATGCCGAAGCCGTCATTTCCCCTATTTGAAGTTTGTAACTAACATTATGAGCGATTAGAGATCTTGCGTCCCATTGACTTCACAATAATTGTAGGAACTTTACAAAAGTTCTGAGAAATGAAAGGAGATGCTGAGAATTTCAGCAAAGCTTCATAAATAAACTGTAGGAACATACGGGAAGTTAACATCCTGAAAATATGGTTAACTAACTGTAAGCTTTAAGAACCACTTCCGTTAGCTTCCGAAATACTGCAGGAACTTTTAAGAAGTCATTGAACTTCACCGCTACCAAGAGTACTTCAGAAAGCTTGAGGAAAGTTGTAGAAACTTTTAAGAGGTTTTAAGTACCTCATAAAAGCTAGATCTAGAGATATTTGGGGAATTTGAGAGATCTTAAGGACAGTTCCTGTAATTTTGGTGCAGTTTAAAGATCTATAAAAATGAATATAGCCAAATTCAGGATATTTCCATGATGTGCTATAAAAAAAAATCAAGAACTCTTAATATATACCGAGAATTTCGGGGAAGTACACTACATTTTCGAGAGAATTTCTGAAAACTTTAGAAAAATTTCAGGAACTTCACGGAAGTCCAGAGAATTTCAATTCAAGGAAGTTTAAAGGTATTTATGATAATTCCATTTATTTCAGAGCAGAACCTAGATTTTCGTTAGAGTTGAGAACTTCAGGAAAGCTCCGACAACATCAAGACAAATCAGAGCATCAAAGGGCAGTTCAAATAATTTCATGAAAATACAGGTACCTTAAAGAAGCATCGAGAAACTCAGGGAATTTCCGGAATCTTCAGCAAAGCTCCGAGAGAATTTCTGGAACGCAATAAAAATTATATGAACATCTGGAAAGTGTATGAGTATTTTAAGGGTGTTATATCATGGATATTTCAAGTACCTCAAAAAATTTCAAAAAATTACTTTAGTTCTAGAAAATCATTATGTAAATAAATGCGTTTTAGCAAGCACCGATTCCAGAAATTCCAGAGATCTTTTAAGAAATTTAGATTGTTCTAGATAGTTTAATTATATTCAGAACAATCCCATTAATTTAAGGAAATTTGCAGCGACTTACAAGGAGGTCTGTGGAATTACGGGATATTCCAAGAATTCTATGATTGATTCAAAAGCTTCAGAAGCATCAGGGAGTTATGAATATATATCAGAAAATTTGTTGGAACATTAAACTGATTCAGAGAACTTCAGGTAAGCACACAAAACTTCAGGGATGTCCAGATAAGCTAAGGGAAAATTAGTGATTTAAGGCAAAGTTCCGTGAGCGTTTATTAGGTTTTATAAAACTTAAGGAAAATTGTGGAAACTTTAAGGCAATTTAATGAATTTCCGTTAAAATGTGAGTTCTTATAAAAAGTACTGAGTATTTCACATCTAGAGAAGTTTACCGAAATTTAATAATCTTTTGGGCAGTTTTATAATATCAGGAAGGTCTAGACTATTGATGAAGATATGAATTAGTGTCGATAATTTAAGGACAGTCCCACGAAATTCAAAAAAATGTTTAGAACTTCAGTGAAAATCATAGAACTATATTTATTCCGTTTCATTCCATGAAATATACGGAAGAAAATGTAATCAATTGTTACGGGAGTTGAAGAAGGAATTTCAGAAAAACTTCTCAAACTTCACAGAAGCGCAGAGATCTTCAGAAACATTTCGAAAGCTTCATAGTAGCCTATGGAACTTAAGGAAAGATCCGAGAACTTCAGGAACTATCTTGAAGCTTAGTAAGCTCCAAAAATAGGGGGTATTTCACGGGGAGTTCAGTTCCATTAGTTGCAGAAAATTAGCGGGATATTAAGAAGTTTCCAGATTTTCATAGAATTTCAGAAATGTTGATTACTTCACATAAGTTCAGAAGATCGTGGATGCTTAAACATGTTTAGGACAGTTCAATTAAAATCAGGGCAGTACAACAATCTTCATGAGAACTCCAAAAACTTCGACAACGTAAGGAAGAACAGAGAACCGCAGAGCAGTTCCGTTAACATTGAATAAATTACATAAATTTAAAGAAGTTTCGAGAACTTGAGCGAATTGTTAAAACTTCAGAGAATTTTTCGTTGATCGTTAGGAAAATTGACGAACGTTTTTGAAATCCGAAAAAGCTCCGGGAAGTTTAAATATTTGATGAAAAGTATTGTGAGCATCAGGCTAGTTTCTCAAACTCAGTACTGCCTTGAAAGCAGAATGCACTTGATGTTTTTCTCAGCGATATTTTTCAGAACTCCCTTGGAATGAGGTCCTTATAAATTTAAATTAAATTCCATGATCCCTTAAAACTGGAATTTGACAACTTGTCGACTTGTCTGTTTGGGACCATTTTGCTGGGTTTCTTCCATACTCCACTTTCGTATATCAAATGATAGTGAGTGACTGAATTGACAGTGACGATGAACTTCGAATGAGAAAGGGGCTCTTCAAAATATGGTCATGTGAGAATTCGTTTTCACAGAATTAATTGAATGATATGAAAATTAACAGCACTGGCTGCAAGAGCTGATGTTTGTACCTACGGGTACGAATGTAGAGTTTGTTCCTCGCTGACCGTTGTTAACAGCAGAGAAATTAGGACCTGGTCGGGAACGTGGAGCGTTTCCTATCTGTCGCTTAGAACGAGATTGTAGGATCGCTTTGCAAGTCTTACATTCCCAAGAATTGGATTTATGGATTTCACCACAATTTGAACATTTAAATTTTTTAGGATCTTCCTTCACAGGACAGTCGTCCTTAGCGTGAGAGGAATCGTGACCCCATCCCTAGCACTTACGGCACTATGTAAGATTTTGGAAATTTCCTCCGATCTGCCTGAAGTGTTCCCACTTCACTCAGATATGGAGCATCAGGCTAGCTTTTTCTAAGACCTTAAGGTTGTTTAGTTCACTAGACTTGAAGTGAACTAAATAAAAATCATTAGAAATCCCGTTGCGTGAATCGCTAGGACGGGATTTCATATTCATTTGGATAACTTGAACAGGCTCAACTCCAAGTAATTTTCTCAATTGTTTTTTGATCTGATTCAGGGATTCACTACCAAACCTTTCAAGACAACCTTGAACAGGCGTTCAGTTTTGCTGTTGTAAGTGAAAAATGGGTGTTGCTTTTCAGTAAGATACTTGAGTAGACGTTTGAATCCGACCAAGGTTTCAGTCAATATTAATTTGAAGTGAAGACTTAAATTTAACGAAGTTCAAACGTTCCGTGCGAAGAGCATGGAAATCGGAAGTGATTACCACAATAGGGGGTATCTTTTCCTTTTTGGCATTAAGCCGGGAATGTTTAATGGAATTTTGCCCGGATGATGGATCATTCTCATTCCGTAAGCATATCAAATTGATTGCTCAATTGAATTTCATCAGAAGGGGGATCAAGCGATTGCCCTTTTCTTTTGCACCATGGCGGCAGAACCAAGCTTCTCCAAATCGATTTCCAAGCAGATTACTATAAGAATCCGGGATCGAAGAGGAATTTTCCAAATCTATATCCAAGCAGGATTACCTCGGTTAGGGTCCGAACAAGGATCGAAGAGGAATAAGTCTTGATAGAGCTGGAATTAGGGTGTAACAGCTTTTGTAAACAATGACTTCTCTAGATGATTTTCGAAACTCAAGGCACGCCCACGCAAACCAACATAACTAACGGGAAGGGGAAGTCTTCCCCTACCTGTTGGTGACGTTGATTTGAGTGAGCAGGTCTTGGCTTTCTAGAAATCATCGAGAGAAGTCATTGTTAACAAAAGTTGTTACGCCCTAATTCCAGCTCTATCTAGAAGTGTCAAACAAGGTAGAAATTTTACAGGTAATGCTGAGCACTGAAAAGTGCTGTTTAAATTTGTTGTAGCTTTAGGTAGCAGTAACACTTCCTTCAGCAAAAAGCAAATAGATTCGCACGGCAAGAGAGCACGATGCGGACTGAATTCGAACATTCATGTTTCATCGACATTATCGATCAAACGATTTTCGAACAGAAATTGGTCATGGTTTATTTAAGTTAAGTAAAAAATCTCTTTTAGTTTTGTGAAAATCAAGCAGGTTTTCCGCAATCAGGATTTTCTTTGGTGGCAAATGCCACCTTATTGCTACCTGCTGAGTACGGTGCTGATGGTAGGTTCGTTTTTCAGCTGACATTTCACTTCTCTGGTGATGATTTTCGTATCTATCAATCTCTGTCATTCCTCATCGAACCGACCATGGGGCAGTGCGTATCGTATCATTATCGTGCATTGTTTCTCATAGTCCTGGTTACTTAGGGCAACTTCCTTTGCATCTTTTTCGTGTATTTTATTGTAATCAAAAACCACCAAATACGAATACCTACCGCTATTACACATTAACGAGGTGTATGAATTGGCTTTTTAATATTATAGTTTGTATCATCTACATTGCATTGATTTATGTCTAGAAACGATTGGAAATTTTAAAAATAATTTTACAGCAGTGGGAACTGCTGGTGACGATGGAAATACGTCAGTCAAAAGCATTTCCCTAGTGTGCAAAAATCAAACTAAAGTGATTTCTTCGATTCAAGATTATGTTATCCGATTACCTATATTTAGTTTAGTGTCTAAAAATTGACTTATCTTTGTTTTTGTTTCCTTTCTATTCTTTTACTTTCTGTTTATAAAAAAAAACCACACTGTTTTCACCACAATTGATAAAACAAAACAAAAACACACAAATACGTTGAATACCCACGCACAAATGCTTCCACCATCACCACAACCACCAACCATAATGGTACAGGACATCCTCTCACCCGATCAAGCATATGAGGGCCTTTACGGACAAGGTCCCCCCAGTGTGCACAGCTCACACGGAGGTCGTGCATTCCAGCAAGGTACGTAGCAACTATCCACAACATCTGTGTCGTTTACTGTACCCTATAAGATGCAGCACATTTTATAACGAAAGCATTACGAACGCGTTTACTTATCTTGATAACTTGTATGAATTGTGACAAATGCCACCAAATCCGCTGGAAATGATTCGAACAATATTCCATACTAACCAAACCATCGCTCCTTTCTTCTATTTTTATGTACTTTCAGCTAAACCAGCCTAACATATATCATCACTAAAGAAGCAAAAGTCTAACAAGAAATAATACTGAATTAACGTTAGAAGCTGTTCCCCTTCATTTACACACTTCCAAAACCAATCGTATGATTTTTGAGCTTCAAAATTGTTAATACCATCTTTCCTCTTTTGCAATACGACGAACTATTTTCCATCTAGCATCTAGCTCCTTTCGCTGAAACGTAGGCATCGATCCCATAACCAGTCCTTGGACACAGTTCAAATCCCTTATAACGGTTTCCGTTTCTACTAGGCTCGTTTACATCCCCTCCTTTCTCTCTCTCTCTCTATCTATATGTTAGTAGATCGTAGCAGCTAACAAGTGGTAGGAAAACAACCTAACGATAAATGCATAATTTAAAACAAAACAAAAATGGTGTAAAACAAAACAAAAATTAAGCAAGTTGTTTGTTAATGAAAAGTTGTAAAAGAAAAAAAGCGAAGATACACAGACACATTTTCAATACTGACATGATAAGACATCACACAAGAGAGTAGTAAACCAAAAACGAGGTGACACGCAAAAGGATTAAACATCATAACAAAAATGAGTTTCAAAAATCTATGGAGCAGCACAGCAGCGTCTCGAACGAAGGTCCGCGTCGATCGAAACGTTCAACGACGGGAAGCGAGACAAACGAACGATGATGATGCAGTAGTAAACATCACAACGCCCTCGTCCCTGTTACGAGCGTGTGTGCGTGTCAGTGTGGAATCGGTCATTACTTTCAAACAATATAAATAGGTGACTATTTTTTTGTGCACGAGTGAAGATGAAATTCGGTTTGCGTTTGGTTTTGTTAGCAGTTTTGCTTGCACCGTTTATGATTTTCCGTTTTGGTTGGTGTGTTTCTCGTTCATAGATTTATTAGAAATGATTTTTCTTTTTCCTTAATTTATACGAAGCATATTAGCAATTTTTTATATATATTATTGCACCATTCTTTCCAATGCTATTTTTCGTTTCAAAGTGTGACCATTTTTGTTATGATTAATCCTGCGGGTATTTATTTGTTTCAGTTTTCCTTTCCGCACCAAATGAGACATTGATCTATTGTTGTACCTAGTCTAATACATTACAAAATGCACAAAACTGCTTGTGTTTATTAGCACCATTGCAAGACAGGCGGATGTTAAATATTTCATCCGATATGAAATGTGACGGAATTTTTCAACCAATATGAAACTATTTTAAATCAGTGCGATTACATTAGCAAAAATCACCATCTTAGCACTTTTGAGACTTTGTATGGAAGCGAGCTGTCAATAAATTAGTGTCAAAAAATGATGTTATTTTGCTTAAAATCTTGTTTAAAAATCGAGATGAAAGTATGTGATTATTATAAATTATATTTATTTATTTATTCATTGTATATTATCAACATAGGGGAATTTACGTATTCTCGGCAACCTAAGCAGCGACCTTCTTTCTATAGCCTTTTTCTCTAAGGAACGCACACATATGCAGTTTTGGTTTGTTTACAATCTTTTGCTGCCAGCTGCTCTAACAATTTCAGTCGAAAGAATTGTCAAAAACTGTTTTGAAACGCTTTTACAAAGCTCCAATCTTCTCTAGTGAGAGTGAGTATTGTCGGCAACCAGTTTTTCTTCGGCAACCGTTCCATTTGAACTGCATGTAAATCTGCTGTTCTATTATCGGCAACTCGAAATCAGCTACAATTTGTAGTGCGTGTGTTTCATTTCAAGAAAACCCCGCTAGATTGCTTTTTCTCAGTGGTAAAAATATAGTCAAATTGAAGCTGAAAGCATAACGAATCGTTTGCATGCATTCAGCGAAGTGTTTTCGTAAGAAAATCCAGTGAAAATAGTGTTTCAATTTGGGTTGCCGAAAATAGTCTGGCATGCCGAAGCCGTCATTTCCCCTACTAGTTTGGTGTCCAAATGATAAAAAGTTATCTTAAAACTAACAAAAATTGTCTTCTAAGAGAGTCACGTGACATGTCCAAATCAAAAATTGAGGAGACTCGGTTGAACGTCCGTTAGAGGGCGATTAGCCCGGAAATCGCCGCATAGTTAGTTCTCCTGAGTGGGATCCTGAGAAGAGAGTTGCCTCGAAGCACACGGGAGCGAGCTTGAACATTAATGTTGCCGAGCAGGGCAGGACAATCCATACGGTCGCACACAGTGGGGCAGCGAAGCCATCCGCGTGGCCAAAACCTCTAGCGCCGCTGGTTTGCTTTCTACAGCAATACAATGTTCTACAAAGTTGTTCAATACTAAAAGCGCCATCTTTTGAATGTTTCATATTAGTCCATTTTTACGCCACATAGGTGGCGCTCGAGTCTATCTTTTGAACGGAGCATCCTAGCCAAATGGTTTTTAGAGCAAAGTTGTGTAATTTGAAGTGTTGAGAAATGTTGTCGAAGGCATCGAAACTCTATGACTCATATTAAGCGAGATATCGGGCAATTAGGAAAACTAACCTCTAAAATTGCGTTTTTTCCTTTTTTCACCTATATGCGTCAAATGTTAAAGTTTTATACTCTAATAGTTATCAAAATGATTTGACTCATCCAATAAATACCCATTACTTTATATATCATGCCTTATTATAAAGTTATTAACATAAATGTCTCAAAAAAGTGATGTATAAAAATGTCAATTACTCAAAATATAGCAAAAAGTAGCAGCCAATTTTTTTACAGTGATTAGTGTAGACCTTGCTGGATAAAATAACGACCACAGTTCAACAGGCAACTGCAGGCATTTTCATATAACATCATTTGAATATTGCTTATGGTAAATTCTTTAAAATTTGTTGCACTTTTGCTTTGTGTGTAAAACATGATAAGATGTTATTGATGAATGCAATAGATGCACTATTAGATTATTAGGAGACTTAAAACTGCTGGTTTAAAATGTCCATCCTCCAACGTCCTCCATAGTGTCCTTTCGACTTGTTTTGCGACTGTATCGTTCCCGAAATTTTCTGAAGTCTTTATTTCTGGCTTCCTGAGCCTCCTCGCTTAACATACCAATTGGAAGCAATGCAATTTGGATTACTTACGATCCGTGGATTAAACCTTATGGACAGAGGCTGATATTGGATATCATTTATAAAGGCTAACATAAAGACGAGCAGTTTCTTCAGCAAAATTTCAAAATGCTGTTATTTTGATCGAAAATCCGGAAGACAACGTACGAAGAATTGTATCGCATCGGTCAATTAATTCTTCATTAATACCAGTTATTACACTTGTTTGGGTTGCGTTAGTGAAGAATCTGCGTGCTTTTGTGCTTTTTTTTCTGATTGTTTGTAATCTATTCAGATCAATAACATCTTATCATGTTTTACACACAAAGCAAAATTTCAACAAATCTGAAAGAATTTACCCCACACACTTAGAAATAACTAATTTTACACGAGACGGAATCAATCTTTGACATAAAGTATGAAAAGTAAACACAAATTTCATGTAAAATTAAGGTCTCCGAGAATGAAAAGTTCGATACTCGGCGAAAACTACGTTTGATTGACTTGAATTTCGCGTCTGTTATGACTCAATTTTACATCAAATTTGAAGCTCGTATATGTCAGTCTCAGAGCATCTAAAATTACATCAATTTTTCTAAGTGTGTATGCAATATTCAAATAATGTTATATGAAAATGCCTGCAGTTGCCTGTTGAATTGTGGTCGTTACTTTACCCAACAAGGTCTACACTAATAACTAAAAAAATTGGCTGCTACTTTTTGCTATATTTTGAGTAATTGACATTTTATGCATCACTTTTTTGAGACATTTATGTTAATAACTATATAATAAAGCATGGTATGAAAAATAATGAGTATTTATTGGATGAGTCAAACCATTTTGTTAATTATCAGAGTATAAAACTTATACATTTGACGCATTTAGGTGAAAAAAAAGAAAAAACACAATTTTAGAGGTTAGTTTTCCTAATTGCCCAATATCTCGCTTAATACAGGGTGGCCAGCAAACCGGGAAAACTGGGAATACCGGGAAATATCCGGGAATTTGAAAAGTAACCGGGAAAAACCCGGGAATTCGATGAGAGAACCGGGAAAATAAATTAAACATACCATAAGAACAAATTTTTACACCAGAATTTCAGAATAAATCTAAAACAGAGTTATCCTTTACCAAATGAATGTCTTGCTCTATTTGCTGCATAATTTTCTTCAGTTTCCCGTCTTATTGTTTTTAGAATTTAATCACTCAGCAATATTGAAAATTGATTTTTGTCGTCTCAATTTCAGATGTAAAGTGCATGGTCCTTGAAAGAAAATATTGAAGATGCTGAACTTTCGAAACAAATATTTGTAAAAACCGAAACTGAATTATTCTTTTCCGGGGGTTTAATTTTTCGTTGTTCAAAATTCTCATGACATGAATTCAAGAATTAACTTGGAATTCTGCTCAGAATTATCTTGAAATTGTTCTGAAATAAACCAGAAGACACTCCGCGTAATAATTGCCGTTGAATTCTTTTTGGAATTTCCTTGCAACCCCTTCTAAGAATTTAATTGGAATGCTTCTTAGAATTCCCTTAAGCCTTTCCGGAGACTTTGATTCCTTTGAAAATATTTTCAAAAATTTATTTTAACTCTATTCAAAACAGCAGAAACCTTTCGAAATTTTATTTAGAAACCCATTGGAGTATTTTAAAGAATGTCTTTCTAATTCTCAGAATTTTTTGCAATAAATTTTGTTGGAGTTCTGTGATGAATCTTTCGCATTAGGGTTGAAATTATTGCCAGCACAATCTAAGAACTCTG